GGCAACGCGAGTCGATCAATCAGAAGCTTGCCGCGAGCTTCCTGCGGCAACCTGCGTTGAAGTTGAAATCTCTTGACTCGTTGCCGCAGTTCAGCGCGTCTATGGAGTAGTCTTAGCTTTAGCGCTGCGCGGCGGCCCCGGCCAGCGTGCCCTTCATCGACCACCGGCGGTGGATGGACAGACGGATAGAGAGAGAAAGAAAGAGAGAGAGAGAGCGCCCGAGCCGAGGTCTCTCCTCGGGCGGGCCAGGTATGCGACGGGGGAAAACGCCCGCTCGCCCCGGACGTTCACGGGCATTTTCGGGGGACCACCCGCGTGCTCGGCGCGGCCCCCCCCAAACGGCCCCGCGGTTCGTTAATGGGCGGCGGCGGGGCGATTTCGTAGGAATTCACTCGCGCGCCGCGCCACGCCGCGCCGGTTCGTTACCAGGCCCCCCTCGATTGACGGAACTCGTGACTCGCGCGAGAGAATGACGGCGAAGGCGGTAAACAACCGCCGCGCCGCGCGTCGTTCTCCGCACGCGTCTCGCCTCTACTACCTGGAAACAACATCCGACGGATTTGCATTCGCATTCGCGCGAGCGCACGCACGCGCGCGCGCGCGCGCCGCTGCGAGCGCGGCGCTGGAATGCGGCGCGATGGAGTATACAAGGATAAGGTCGGCGCGCGGTGCTCCGAAGCGCGTGCGAGTCACATACAGCGTAGAGGCGCGTCATCGTCTAAAATAATCGGGCCAGGCCGATGGCGGGGTAACGGCGGCGGCGACAATGAGCGCGGCGACGGTTGAGGAGGTTGAGGAAGAAGTGGGTCGGAGAGTAGAGCGGCGATCGGCGCGATGGGGAAAGAAAGGAAATAGAAGAAGGAATCTCGCGGTCGCGCGCGAGTGTGCGTCGCGAAGCGGAGAGAAAGGGAGGGACAGATGTGCAAAAAAAAGGCAGAAGATCGAAAGATAAAGACAGAAGGAGAGAGACGTTGCGCGCACACACAGGTGGGGAAAGAGAGAGAGGGGGGGTGGGGGGGAAAAACAGAAATTCTTGCTCACCTAACTAATCGCGAGTCCGTAGTTTGAGCAGCCACGGCATCTCAGGTCGGGGCCCGATGACTGCACCACGCGTAACCTCACCTCACACTCCGGCACCACTCGCGTGCGCGGTCCACAACGCAAAAACCAGGAGGGCACTCTCCGGTGTTACCGCTGACGGTCGGTCGGTCCGCGCGCGCGCGGCGCGCGCGCGAGCGCAGAGGAAAGAGGGACAGGGGGCAGGGGGGAGGGTGGGGGAGCCCGAGAAGGGAAACGGCGTAGCGGCGGCGACGACGATGTCGACGTCGACGGCGGTCCCAAATGCGAATTCTCCGCGCACTCACACCGCAAACATAAAACAAACAAACCAACCGACCACCTGCGCGCGCGCGCGCGCGCTCTCCTCACTCGAAATCCGTGCGCGTGACGATTGTTATTCCACGTCGGGTGCGCTGCTCTTCCTCTTTCCGCGGCACCGTGTACGTGCGAGCCACCGAGGGCGAGGGCATCCGGCCCCGATGACGGGCGAAGTGCCACCGATGTCCTCTCGTCGTTCAGGCGGTCATAACGCGCCGTGCGTTAACCGTAAGCGTACTCCCTCGTCGTCGTCGTCGTCGGCGGCGACTGCGGCCAGCGGCGGTGGCGGCGGCGGCGACGACGGCGGCGGCGGCGGCAGCGGTGACGAAGGGGAGGGAGGCAGTCGGAGTGGGGACGGGGCCCACCTTCGTACACCTGCGCGACCTATCAACAGGTCCCCGCGCGCACGCACGCACGCACGTACGTACGCGCCGTACGCACGCACGTACGCACGCACGCACGCACCTACGTTACGCGCAGGGCACGCGGAATCCGGCCGCGCCGAGTTCCACGCCGATGCGCAGGTATATCGCGCGGAACTCCTCTCCTCCCCTCTCGCTCCCTCTCGCGCGCTCGCGCCTCCTCCCGCTTCTACCTGCCGCTCCGACAGGTATACCGCCGGGATACACACGCCGCGGGCACGGGCACTTCCCGACGGAGCGAGCGGACTCCTCCCGCGCGCGTTTTCTTTGCGTTTTTCCCCCCTTCCTCTCTTCCTCTCTCTCTCTCTCTTTCTCTCCCGAGAGACGTCGAAGGCGCTCTTACCCTCGACGTGCCGCGAGAAACGCGGGCGAGAGATCAGTTCCCAGGAAGAGCGTGGCTACCCGCGCAGCCGCGAGCGAGCTAGCGAACTAATCGCGAGGTTTAGGTGGTTTAGGCAAGGCTGCGCTCGAACGCGCGCGCGCGCGCCCAGACCCCGTTCCAGCCTCGCTCCGTTCTACTGGCCCTTTCTTTTCTACGACGGGCCCCCTCCCCCTCCCGCAGCACCGCTCCCTCCCCCACTCACCCCGCTGGCCGCCGACTCCAGGACCGCCGCGTCGACGCCCGCCGTCCCGGTGCATTCCACGCGCGCCGCATCCACCGCGTTTCGCCTCCCTTTTGCCCCGCCGCGTTCGCCACGACGTTACCGTATGACCCGAACGTGCGGTCTCGATGTAAATACCGTCCACCTGTCCACCCCGCTGAATTATTACGACGACGCTCTCTCGTCCGCGCCTCGTTGCGTCGCCGCAGCGTGCGCGACAAATCGTGCCGGGACGAGCGTTAAATTCGACTCGTCCCTTTAAGCCGCTTTCCCGGGGCATTTCAAGCGAGAGGTGATTCGTCGATCGACGTCAAAGCGATATCGACTCGAACATCGATTTGAAGGTGTCGATATCGACTCGACGTCTATTCGACATCGATCGACGAATCATTTCTCACTGGGTGTTCAACGCTGGGCCTAAATTCCGTACACGATTACCGACGACCATCGATACGTTAACGACGTTTGCGCAGCTTTTCTATCATGTAGAAAAAGCTGCGCAAACGTCGTTAACGTATCGATGGTCGTCGGTAATCGTGTACGGAATTTAGGCCCTGGAAAGGCGAATCGTCGTCACGGAAACTGTCCGGGGTGACCAAAATTTCCGGCCGTTCGACTCGCGAGAGCTTGTCACGTGCACATTCGTGTGCGCACGATTTGATGTATAATAAATCGGAGTTGGGAAAGTTGCTTTATAAAAGTGTCTAGTTACAGTTGCAGCTTTTTCGCTAAAAATGTAACTAATTGCAGTTACAAGTTACCAATTGTGGAAAGTAACGCGTTACAGTTACTCAAAAAGTAACGATTCGCTGCGTTGCAGCTACTGTCTTGCGATAAAAATAAAAATGTCAAATCGACATTCGAATTGTAAAGCGCCGATAAAGGCGCTCGTGCGCAAACGCGAGGCCCAATGCGATCCGCGGGGGTTCAAAGCCGATATATCAAGTAACTATTTAATTAGTTACTGGTCACCGAAAAAAATAGAACTGAGGTTAAGTTACTGTTACGGACGGAGAGAAAGTAACGAAGTTAGAGTTGCCAAAAGAAAGTAACCATAACTGTAACTTCGTTACAAGTGACTCGTTGCTCCCCAACTCTGTATATCTATATATATATATATTTGTCGTCTGCATTTCAACGTTTTGTCATTTTCATCGAGTAAATTGCCTCGCGCGACGAGACGGCGTGGAGGGGCGAAGGAATAAAGAACTCGTTACCTCCTCCCTCCCCCCCCGCCCCCCACGGAAACGTCATGCAACGTTCGTCGCAGCGACGTTCCTGCCGCGAAACTTCCTCGTCCTTGTTCCTCTCGCCGGACACGTCACCGTCCCTCGCTCGCACTACCGTTCTCGGACTTGCCTCACCAGCCAGTCTGCCGCTGCTGTGCCCCCCCCCCCTTCGGGCCCTGCCCGCTGTCCGTCGTCCCGCTTTTCACTCGCTTGAATTGCCCGCGAGCGGTGGTCCCCAACCCTGTTCCGTCGCTCATTTTCGACGTCTCTATATTATATACTCTTTCGGGGAACCGCATCCCGCGGTATCAATTCCGGATCTTCCGTGGAGATCTCACGCTCGGGCAGTCGGTTTTTAGTCGATTACTCGCCACGGAAGTCACGTAACCACGTCCCTACCGGTCGTAATAAATCGTTTCGCGTCGGGAAAATGAAGATCGGACGTTGCCGGAAGGTAAACGCTGGCGACACATAATTGTCGTTTACATACCGTTATCAATTTTTCTTGAGGATATGCGTATGTGGACGTAGCAGTTAGAAAGAGAACGATGAAAGTGTTATCATAATTTTCGAATGCAAATCTTATCAGACAGCCCTAAGGGCCGTCGCACACAAAATTGCATAGTTGCATATGCATAGCACAAGACCGTCTAGACCAATGAGCGTGTTATGTAAATCAATATGGCGACTCAATGCTCGATGCTTATTGGTCTAGACAGTCTTGTGCTATGCTTATGCAACTATGCAGTTTTGTGTGCGCTAATGCCCTAATGCTCAAAAGTTTCCTCCAGACAGGAACCAGCACTCAATTATTACAATGATATATCTTGATGCAGTATTGTTCTAAAGAATACACTTACGATTAATACGTAATATAAAATAGATTCGAAAGATTATAGTTTGAGGCGCTGTTGCAACAGCTCTTAGACGATACACTCATGTCTACTACACAATTCTCCCCATTTTTCAGTTTTAACTGTATATTGTTGAAACGGAACGGTCAATAATTTTTATTTTTTTCCCAGTTATTCGTTCTATTTTACTTTATAACATATTTCTCATACAAATCTCGCTCATCGTTAAACTTAACAAAAATAAAATGTGCCATCATTTGTGTTTGAAAACGCAAATATTAATATTTTAACACATATAATAATCAAAATTTTAAACAATTCTCACATAAAGCCATTCTGCTCAGGCCCTAAGTAAGGAGCGTTACGTTGAGCTGAACCAGGCTATCAATATTTTTCATTTCAAAAAATTTCCGAAAATCTCATCTACATCTTCGGGATTATTACCAATTGTGCAATTTCTCAAACTATAGGTGCGTTCCGTTTCACGCATGACGCACATATGATGCACCATTTATCCTTGTTATTCGCCAAATGTTAAAGAAGAATAAATGATGCAGCATGCATATCAAGCGTGAAACGGAATGCACCATAAATGTATGAATTTATGCAGTTATAATAAAGTAAAAGTATATTACATAAATATCCTATTTACGAGTATACTGCATATACATACAAAAATTCGCAAATAAAAGATTTGCTCAGTTTTTGCGCTATTGCACCTAAAAAAAAATTGCCACGAAAAAATACAGTCACATGTTGATAACGCGTCGACGATCAAATTTACAGAAGAGAGCGATCTTATCGTCTACCAATGTATCAGAATACAATCGTCACGATTTTTACCGATTAAGCGTCACGTGATAGGGTAACGCAGTTGATTCAAATTAGGGTCTGAGCAGAAAGACTGTCGTAACCGTTTACGGTCCTGTCGTAAGACTGAAGTCGGTGTCGGAAGTCAACGCGTAAGAAATTGTAGACGTATGTCGCCTTGCGACTTGCTGCGTCTATTGTAGAACCAGCGTTAACGCGACATACGACTACGACAATTCTTTACGCATCGTAAACACTCTTTCTGCTCAGGCCTTTATTCATCACAAGAAATTTTATTACTTATGTATTACGCTCGTTATTTTTCTCTCGTTATGCAAAAATTCCCGCTTTTATTTCTATATGCAGTGCTTTTTGATGAATCTCGATAAGAATTTTTATTTATAAAATCGTAATGTTACAAGAAGAAACATTTATATACGCTCGTTCCTCGATTTGCGCGGCAAATAATCCCTCCGTGTACGCGATACGTTATTTACGCAGTCTCAGTTTTACGCGGACAGAAAATATATCGTTTAAAAGAGACACACTGATGATGAAACTGAACAGAGGCGCCAAAGTTTTAGTAATAAGAATAGTATAAAAAGAAAGGTTGACCGCTTTGAAGTCTAGTACTGGCAGCGACAACGCAAATAAAATTTAAGTTTAAATTTTAAGTTTTATCTGAACTTCCGTTGTTTTTTTTATGCAAATATGTGGAATAAATATTCTCACAATATACACACTTTTCTTTTTGTACTTTTTTGTACCAGCGGACTTCATTTATGCAATTCTCAACCATGTAAAAAAACCACATTGAGGGACGAACGTATATGCAAGCCGCTTTGCAGAATTAACATTATATACAATTATTCGTTTTTATGATCGTCAATGAACGATATTATGCAGTCACTTCTGGAAAAAGATTTACGAGGAGGTGATCTAGTAAAACATACGCTAGATGTTTATTGAACGACGCGTTTTGTAAAGGATCCAGGAGAGAATCCATGAGACTGTTCCAAGGCTTGGAAAATCCCACTAACCGCCACAAGGAATGCAGTCCCTCCTTCGCTGTTTCGTAGTAATTTCGACATTTTCCTTGCGAGGGAAAGTCTTTCATGTAATTTTTGCCCACTATTTTCGCGTGTAGAAGCTTGACGACGATGGAAGCGCGGCCGCCACTCAGAAGCTTAACTAGGGTGTTGTAGAACACCGTGTTCACAATAGGATCTATCCTCTCACGCGATAAAAAGGCGAACATCCAGAAAAGTCGCGAAATAATCGGTGGTACGCTCAGTAGACCATCAACTGTAACATAAAGACGTTATTTTTAACGATCAAACAATTGCGTCAGCGACACACGCGAGAAATATAATTTTTAACTTACGAGCTTCAACGATGCACAAACTTGCACCTTTCATGTGATCGCGCTGCGGTAGACTGCACGGCAAATTTTGGAAAGTGGCCGGTAGATCCAAATTATTGCCGAATACATCGTCCACCAGCTTCCTACCTTTGCTCTCCGTTTCGCCGAGATGCTCGCTCGACGGCTCGACACCCATGTCCATGTGCTCGTATTTCGTGTTCGTGGACGCCAAGAAGGTACTCATAAATTTATCGAGATGCTGTCCCCTCTCCTTCCGCAATTTATAAGTCACGCTCTGATAGAGAATGCCAATGTCGGGCGTGCTGTAGTTGGCAAAATACGGCTTCAAGTTCGGGGTCGTAAGGAAGGTGTAAAGGAGCTCGCTGCTCCTCAGCATCGGCTTGGACAGCAACTTCTGCAGAAACTCCTCGTAACGTTGACGGTTAGCTGCGACGGGCAAGTGCGGGTTCTTGCGCGACGGTAACGGCGAGTCGTACAATTCCTTGTCACCGTGGAACTCGGCGAGTCGCGTCCGCAGCGTGTAGAAGTCTTGATCTTGCCGCAAGACCGTCCACGATTTGGCCTCCGCCACGCTGTGAATGGCAATCATGTACACTGGTTGCGTGCCACCGCCGTCCACGTGCGGGACGGCGACTCGCCACGTCGTTAAGTCGCGATGGCTCTTATCGCCGAAGCCTTTGATCTCGTTATACGCTCGAGCCGTGCAGTCTACTTCTTCGACCGGATAGGCGTCCTGCAGTTGGAACGGGGCACCGTCCACTGTAGTGCGTAAGACACCGTCAACCTTGCCGAGTTGATTATTGAATCGTATAGGAGTAGCTGTACCTCCACTTGCGCTACTGTGGGCGAATATACGTGTTCATACGATTAGAATTGCGTGTAAATGTTACTGAGAGCTAGCATGTGTAAATTGTGCCTAAATTTACGAAATGTAGCATTCATTTTATTTTTATTTCTCAAGAAAATATTAGTGGAAATTGCCATTTTCTCTACTTCATCATAGAAGCTGTAATGTAATAATTGTAACTTCTAAGTGTAATGAAAAGTAAGCGATCGTAAAGTAGCAGGATTGAAATGTATGGCGAGTTTAAAAACACGAAAAGGTATGCATCTTACTTACTTGGCTGCTGCGGCAGCTTTTGTTTGTTCGGTTAAGTGACCGCACGAGAGTTTATATAACTGAAATACCCAGCGATAAAACTATCGTTAGAATAGAAAATTTCGTTATTAAATTTAATATATTCAGAATTTAAAACACTGAACGTTACGATAAAATCTGAGAGATAAAACAAAGATAAGTCATAAAATGTGTCTTTTACTTGGTAACTATGATGGAACGATGGTAGGCAAGTGCTTTCTAGGAGCGCGTGCGCTTCTTGATGAGCTTGATAAAAGGGCCGTGATGTCCGTAATTCCTGAATTTTTTCTGGCCCACCTTCCAGTACTGAAAGCAAACTTGTATACACATATCTGTATAACATTTGAAATAAAACTTGTTCACAAATTACTCACTTTGCCGTATGCCTTTCGATATGTGCAACGGTAAGTACAAATATTCCGGACCATCGGGATCGAGGTACATCGTGTACATATTCCGAACGCCTGTGTATAAGCTTTTTTCAGCACTAGTCGACATTTCCGGATTTAACATGCGTTTACTGAGCTCGTCTGAAAGCAAATAACGATTAAATTGTGATTATTGAAAAGCGTGTACGTTAGATTAAATTTTCGTTAAGAGGTTTATACATTAGATTACATGAAAAGTGTTATGCGTACCAATATCTAAACAAAATTGAAGGAGATTCATGGGTCCGGATTCTTTAATGTGTTGCATAAACATATATAATAAATCAGGATCGTTCAGAATTTCATTTAAAGACGGTTTGAAGCAACTGTGCGTGACATGCGAATGCATCGCTGGAACTGTCACCCAAGACTGCAATATCGGTACGGCAATAGTCTCCGCGGCATTAGACAGTATGGTGTCGTGATGAGTGGACAGTGTCACTAGCATATTTATATTTTCTGGATCCGCGAGCGCATCGATTGCCGGTAGTAGTACCCAGTTTGCTAAAATTTCTCGCAGCATCACCTGGAAAGCTTACGAAATGTTATACCCAATCGCTTCTCCATACAATAAAAATTTCAAAAATACACAAGTGCCTAATAAACGTAAAAGCGGGAGTGAATTTTGGAAATAAATTCGGGTGACTTTGGCATTTTCTCGGTTTCTTATACCGTGCAAATTTTAACTAAATTTTATCTACCACTTATAGTTTCCCCGTGACGTTACAACATTCTTAGGCGTCTCTACGCTGGGACTCGCTTGCGCGCTCCTCCAAATTTTGCTCCCTACGCTGGAGCGTCAGGCCATACCGCCTAGTAACGGCGCAAGTATGTAAAATTATAAAAAAAATGAAAACGAGGCATTATAAAATTTCAAAGTAAATTCGCGCAGTACAGCCAAATGCCGGAAACAGTGCCAAAGCCAGCCAACGTTAACGGTGCGTAATATTACTTTATTGTTCGTCGAGACATGTATGGCAGGTAGCAAGTGCGGCAGCAACGCGGTGACCAGACCCCGTAGATAGTCGAGCTCAGCCTCTCTAGAATAGGCAGCTGGATGGATCTTGGAGCTCAAGCAGCTCTCGACGTAATCCTGGGGCGTTTTAACGTCGTGCTTGGACATCTTGACCAGCGCGCTCCAATCCTGAGCGTGTTGTATGGCCAAGGGGATCAGGCCGTCGAAGGCGATGGTGGCCGTGTCCGCGCGCAGCAAGCGAACGGCGATATTCTTCGCCGCTGTCGTTATGGCCAGACGTAGCTGTTGTACGAAGGCCTCGTTCGCCGAGAAATCCGAGTACCATGTGCAGACGTAGATTTGCAGCACCTCCTCCAGAAGCTGCAAATTAATACGTTTACAGTCCCTCGCCGACAGACCAAGAGCCAGAGTCTGCGGCGGAATAAACTGCGTAAACGGCTAATCACTTGCTCCAACGCGTGGTCAAAGTCCTTCGGTACTTTGACCTTGGTCGAATGCGGCGGCAGCTTGTGCCTCTTGCAGGTGTCCTTGCTGCAGACGCTGCACGAGTCCGCGACCTCGCATCTCGTCGCACATCCGCCGTCCACGATGTTGAACCTCGTCAGCAGATCGTCGACGCATCGCGCCAGCTGTACCGCGTAAAGGCTGGCGAGCACGTAGACGCCGGCGACGACGAGCACCCACGCGACGCTGCAAAAAGCGCAACGGGTCAGCCTCGGCGTGCAATTCACGCGTGTTGTCTCACGAAAACGCGTCGTTACCTGTTAAACACAACCACGACGAATGCGGCGAGCAGGACAACGGTCGCCGACACGGCGGCGACGAAGAAATGCAGATCCTCCATCCCGTCGCTGCTGAACGGCACGCGACGCCGACGTGTAGGCGGTTTTCGGGGCTAACAAAACATTTTCCGCGGAGCCACCTTCGAGGCGCGGATGCTCCTCCTCGGCGCGCGTCCGACTCGGGTCGCCCCTTTTTTTTTTATCGAATTCGGCTGCTTTCAAGTGGCGACTCCGCCACAGGCACAGACTCCGCGCCGAGTCCCCGACGAGCGTGTCACGAGGTGTCCCGACTGCGAGACAAACGATTCGTGGCGGAGAGAAGCAAAGAGCGAAAAAGGGGGGTCGATTTTCCTTCGCGTCTCCGTGCGACGATCCGAAGGAGCGCGGGTCGACAGACCTTTGTTGTCGTTGGACCAGCGACGGGATAACCTAGCGGCGACATTCGGTTACATTGCACACGCACACGTTGTTTCGACGCAGCCGCGGATTTTGTATCCTACGCGACACTTTCCTCGTGAAAGGACCGGGACGATGCCGAGGCCTCCGGACCCGAAATTCCTGTTGCGCGGCGACATGGATGAAAACGTCCACAGTTTGCTGTTCTCGGTTAGTTCCGAGGTCGAGCACCTCTACGCCGGCGACGGGAAGGGCACGGTTCACATCTGGGACCTGAAGGTGAACAGTCGTTTCACTTACGTCCGATTCTATCAATGTGGGTAGCTTAATATCTCGGTTCAATTTACAACTTGAGCCCGGTTTCACCAACGTTGTTCGACCTTGAGCTCAGCTTAATTCGTTCCTTGCCCTCTTTCCAGCTGTTACTTTAGGAAGAGACATATGTGAGTTGAACTAATAAGATTAAAGTTTGGTGAAACCGGACCCAATGCTCGTTTCTACCAACGCTTGTTTAACTTCTAATCTTGGTTCAACGTACTTTGTATCTTTTTCCAGTTTTACGAAGGCCCGGGTTCGCCAACGTTGTTTAACTTTAAGCTTGGCTTAACTCGTTCTTCGTCTCTTTCCAACTGCTACTTTAGCGAGAGAAACAAACAGGAATTAAACTAACATTAGAGTTAAGCGACGCTTGGTGAAACCGGGCCTTGGAGAAAAAAAAACGAGTAATTTAAACCGAGATTGAAGTTAATTGGCAGAAACGGGCGTTACAACTGGAAAAAGGTAAACAGAAAATTAAGCAGAGATTAGAGTTGATCTGCGTTGATAGAAATGGACATTGGTGAATCATAATTCATTGAATGATTGAACAAAATTATACGAGAGATAGCTGTGTTGTCTTAACACAGATTTCAGATTTGTTGGTGGAATTAAATCTTTACCGTGTTGCAGACGAACAGGGTGAAATATCGATTGTCCGACGGACCTAGCCCATGTTTTAATTTGCACACAACTAATGAAACTGATCTAATAGTACAACGAAGACATGGGGTGATCGACGTGTACAAAGTAAGCGATTCGGGCTGGATACTAGACAGAAGCACCAGTTACGAATATTGCAGTTTCTGCAGGTACATTGATGAATAAATCTGTTGTAAGTAGCTTAAGCCTGGTCTCCATCGTCGCTTAACTTTAAGCTTAAGCTTTAACTTAAACTTTAAGCTTAGCTGAATTCGTTCTTTGTCTCTTTCCAACTGTTACTCCAGAAACTGGAGTTAAGCGACGTTTGGTGAAACCGAGCCTTAATAAATGTCCGGTTTCACCAAACGTCGCTTAACTTTAATCTTAGTTTAATTAATGCTTGTCTCTTTCTAGAGTAACAGTTGAAAAGAGACAAACAACGAATTAAGCTAAGCTTAAAGGTAAGAGACGTTGGTGAAACTGGGGTCTAAGACTGTTGAAGTTAACAAAATTGCTTTACACCACAGATCTCAATTGTTATCGGAGAAGGATGCAGTGTTGATTCCACTCGATTGTTCCGCAGTGGGAATGTTCTCATTGAAAACGTCCAGGGTGGAATCGACGTTAGACCCGTCCAAACTGTCCTACAGTAATAAATTAGGTACGACGATGGCGATAAAACCGTTGGGGGGTGTAAACGACTTGCTTCTGGTTGCTTACGAGAGCGGGCAATTATTGTTGTGGGACATGAGGAAGAATGACGTCCTCAGCTCTCTCACCGTCGAACAATATCCGATGGCTTTCGACTTTGATCCTTCCTTGATGCAGGGCATCCTCGGTAGCGCGTCAGAGAAACTGGAGGTGCGTAACTCTACGGTCTAGAAAATCAAAAATGCATGTAACGCCGACGTTGGCAAGCGGTATTTATGAATTTTTAGATCTTCGAGATGTCGCCGAATCACACTTTGGCCCACAAATCTACGAGACTCTTGGAGCACGTCTCCGGCATATCCGTTCTTTCGGTAAGACCAGACAGGAAGATCGTCGTGGCCGGATGTTGGGACGGACGTATGATGCTGTTCTCCTGGAAGAAATTACGGCCGCTCGCGATATTGAAGGAACACAGAGCAAACATATACGACATTGTTTATTCGCAGTGTAAAGTCGAGGCTTACGATACCAAGTGTTTAATGGCAGCGACTGGCAAAGACGGTTATATATCCATGTGGGATATATACAATTAGGAGCCTCGCAAGTTAGTACATGTAAATAGGCAGGCAGGAATGCTTGGACATTTCGACATATAGAACCGAAATACAGAAATGTCCAGGCATGTACATTTGTGTGAATGTACAAAGGAAAAAATGTACAGTTACTTTAAGTCACTTAACGAGTCTTCCATGACCACATTCGTGTGTATCGAAGGATATCCATTATGCGATCATTATTGTATAAATTCTCTGATTCAGATTCCTCTTTTGTCACTGAAAGTGCCACTAAAATTGGTTCTGAAGGATTATTGGCTGAGAGAATTTTTTACGGGCACTTTCATCGATAAAAGGATTCAGAGTGAGGGTCTCTAAGTATTAAAATATTCTGTTTATTATACATTTGTACACGTGGTTTCCTTTTATTATTGCCATCGGACTATGTGGTACGTCTTTTTTCCAACTCTAAGCAATGACACATTATTACTTAGTATATGGATGCCAGGTACAAGTACCTCGTTTAAATTAGTGACTCTTTGGTGGTTTACATAAAAACCGCCCGCTGTTATAATTCGTTCGGCATCGTGATCGGTTTTAAAGCACTTTGCCTTCTTCGCCAGCTCGTACACGGTGATGCCTGGCTCGGTCATGATATCCACCAAGGTTGCGCCTTCAAACACATCTGTTAGTTCCAACGGATTCAATCTTACAAATGACTCGATTGACTTATCATACAGTGCTGCAGAGGCGCGTTTTGCGGCCAATAGTCCATCCTCTGTAAAAAGTAGCGATATTAAATTTACTAATAAGCAAATAATAGCAATAATTTTCTATAAAAATTACCTCCATGCACCAAGAGCGTGACTTGCTCCGCTAATAACTTTTGCGCTCTTCTCTGTTCCGGATCGTTCATATGACTCTTCACAATCTCTGCAATTTTATTCAGCGGTAAAAATGTGAACAGTTTCAAGAATCTCTCGACGTCGGAATCTTTGGTTCTGATGAAATACTGGTATAATTGGAAGCTGGAGGATTTGGCCGGAGACAGCCACACCGCGTTCAAGAGAGACTTTCCAAATTTCTTCCCGCCTTCGGCCGTTATGAGCGGCAACGTGATGCCGTAAACTTCTTTTCTTGTACTCTTCGTGATCAGGTCGTATCCGGACATGATGTTGCCCATCTGGTCGCTGCCGCCGATTTGGAAGCGACACTTGTAATTTTCCGTCAAGTGAAGCCAATCGTACGCTTGGAACACTTGATACGTGAACTCGGTGAAACTCATCCCGGTGTCCGAGTTCAATCGCGACTCTACCGAGGATCTGCCCAGCATTGTGCCCATTCGAAGGTACTTTCCGATATTTCTGATGAAGTCAATGACGTTCACGTTTGTATACCAGCTCAGGTTGTTGAGTATAATCAGTGGCTTCAGTGTCGCAGTCTTGTCCCTCCAAAAGTTCTCCTCGTGATTATTAAATATGGTCTGTATATTCTTTGCGATGGACTTTACGTTCTCCTCGACCAAATACTTTTCTATTTCGACGCGCTCGGACTTCCTGTGGCTGGGATCGCCTATTAAACCGGTAGCTCCTCCTACCAGAGCTATAACTTGATGTCCCGCCCTTTGCCAGTGCAAGAGATTCATCAGGATGAGCAGATTGCCGATATGTAAGCTGTCTGCTGTCGGATCGAAGCCAGCGTAGACGCACTGGGACGATTTATTCAGTAAATCCACTATCTCATTTCTGAAAAGATACAAACAAACGGATGAATTTGTACGAGTACGTCACCATTAATTGGTTTAGGCCTGGTTTCACCAACGTCGCTTATCTTTAAGCTTAGCTTAACTCGTTTTTCGTCTGTTACTCTAGAAAGAGACAAACATGAGTTAAACCAAGATTACAGTTAAGCAACGTTTGGTGAAACCGGGCCTTAGGTGTCGTAAAACCGGATTTAACTCGCGTTTATGATTTCGAGGCCCGGTTGCGCCAACGTTTTAACTTTCTGTTTGCCTTAGAAAGAGACAAAGAGTGAATTAAGCTAAGGTTAAAATTAAGCGACGTTGACGCAACCGTGTTCGAGTCAATAGTTGTTACCGCCAGTGTAATAATGTCGTATAAACGCTGGTCGAGTCCAGTTTGTTAACCAGAGGCTAAACTCTCTGTCTCCTCTCAGATAATAGCGTAGAAAAAGTTGGAGAGCCGACTAACTTCTGGTTAACAGTTTATCAGAGAATGAAAAGCCGGGCCTAAGTAAGATGTAACAATTTTGTACGCAATGTAACCATCTTTACAGCGTCACGCTACACGGCACAATTTCACATACTTACGTACTAGTATCGGGAAATATATCCTCGTACATGCCCCTTTCGTGGAGCTTCAATACATTTCTGCTGCAGTAAAATCGGCGTTTGTCGAAATTTGCGTTTCTGACGGCGCAACATAACCTTGATAAAGAGCGCACGTTCATCCTGCCGCGTACTTATCTCGACTGAAATGATATTAATATCTTTCAACTCCAGAAATTAGATTTCGTCCTGAACCCGCTGTACGAAGATGTGCGCGCGCGAATTCATACGATCGCTAATATTCGCGACTCAAGTTTCGGGGATTATGTCCCCCCCCGGCGGCCGATCACAACCTCAAATAATGCGGCATTTCTTCCTTACGAGGTTTACAAGGCTTGTTTGTGTTGCTTGAAAGCCCCGAAAATTTCTGCACTTTAAAAAGAGATAAACATACATTGGGCGTTGGAAAGAAAGAAATGAAGATGAAGTGCAACACGAACAAACCTATGGCGTCAGTAAAGTAAGCTAAGCAGTTTCCAGCGCTTTACGCCCACTTTTATTTTTGAAACTACTCCGCTACGCCCATTTTCAAGCACTGTCGATAAAGTCTCCAGGTAATACTGAACGAGTCTCTCATTCTCCGTTTTTCATGAAAATTCATAGGATCGTGTATTTTTGCCTGTAAAACACGAATTTGCAAGTCAAAATTGTCGCTCGGCACTACTAAGAGAGTTATAAGTTGTTAAAATCTGACAGTTGTGAGGTTAGGATACCTGTCGTACCGACACCAACAAACACTATACGCGAACAGCGTATAAGGACCGGCCAAAAGAGAGCGTCAGGAGGAGACGATACCATGCAAGAATCTGAAAAAAAACACACGAAGAACAAAACAGTCGTACATAAATTATATATCGTACAAAATTAATAAATAATCAACAGGTTTATAAAATTAAAGTTATATTTCTTCAGTTTTTAGTTTTGACCTTGAAAATGACCTTGTCGCAAATTTTTATTCTCATATTCGTAATCACGTTTAAAAATACAAAAAAATAGTGTCGCTTCAAAAAGATCGGAGGGTTCACCGATTCGGATTTAACTACTGTAACCAATAGTTATCCGATAAAACCAGTACCACTATATAAATGTGTAACAAAAATCGTACTGTAAATGCGCAAACGAAAATCTATCGCATAAAAGATTATTTTAGACCAACTTAAAATTTCATACAATAGAAAAGTTAATCTAAAGAGGCCCTCCGCCGCCCCCGCCAAATTCTTATCGGCGGTCCTCTTTTGTTTGCGATAAAATTAAGTTTTTACACTTTTATAACTTGGCGCAAAAAGATCGTAAGTCCCGAAAATTAAAAATATTACAATTCGCAAACGATTTTGCTATTCCCAGGCCCGAATTCCATCGTTGTTTCATAATTCTTGATTCGCTAGAGTCATTACTCACGACGATCCATCCACTTTAAGGTTGGCGCAAAAAGATCGAAAGTCCCAAAAATTGAAAATTTCGTAATTTAAACACAATTTCCTACGCCCATGCACGAAATCTATCAATGTATCGTTTTAATTCGATAGAGTTTCATTATTGACGACGATGCAGCACAGCTTTAATATTGGTGCATAAAAATCGCAAGTCCTCAAAATTAAAAATATTGCAGTTCGGACACGATTGCGTATTCCCAGGCAAGAAATCTAACGATGTCTCGCAATTCTTGAATCGCTAGAGTCATTACTGACGTCGATACGTCAACTTTAATGTTGGCGCAAAAAGACCGAAAGTCCTAAGAATTAAAAATTTTGTAGTTCTAACGCGATTTCCTATGCCCCTGCATGAAATCTATCAATGTCTCCTAAGTTTTAATTCGCTAAAGTCTCATTATCTTCGACGATGCAGCAACTTTAATGTTGGTGCAACAAATTGCAAGTCCCAAAAATAAAAAATTTCGTAGTTTAAACGCGATTTCCTATGCCCTCACACACATTTTATGATAAGGGCATATACATATTCAACGTAGACATCTGCAGCGGGATGCGAAACGAAGAAGATTGGTTTTTGGTTCATCTCGCTACGTCGATTTTTCGCCAAGATATAGCCTTGTAAAAATGGGGCGCGCCCGCACCATTCTTCTGAGAATGTAGCGCGAGTTTTTACGCGAGTAATACGCGAGCATCAAAAAACTGACTTAAAAACATACAAGGCACAGGTGTTCGATAGTAAACACCGCCGCGCCAGACGCCGCGCGAGACGCCGCATATACGAACAGTCTGCTGCTTGTCTCGGGATTATGATCGCGAGTCGATATAATCGTCAATTTCTTCGCACAGAAAAATCATAGCGAGATGAACCTGGTCTCGTTTGAAAGCTAAGATTTCAACGCTTCTATCGAGATAAGAATCGTTTATCTCGGATCATTAGTTTCTGAAATATCGTTGATTAATTCTGGAAATAAAATTAATTTTGTCCCGAGATCGAGATCAGGACTCGATATAATCGTCAATTTCTTCGCACAGAATAATCGTAGCAAGATGTACCTGGTCTTGTTGAAAAGCTAAGATTTCAGCGCTTCTAACCAGATAAGAATCGTTTATCACGGATACTTAGTTTGTGCGATATCGTTAATGAATTCTGGAAATAAAATTAATTCTATACCGAGATCGAGATCGCGATCGAGATCGAGAGAGAGAGAGAGAGAGAGAGATATCACGAGTCAATATAATCATCAATATCTTCGCACAGAATTATCATAGCAAGATGATCTTGGTCTCGTAGGAAAGCTAAGATTTCAGTGCTTCCACAATCGCTTTTTGATGAAGATTCAGCACATTTTAAGATTCCGCGCGAGACATTGACAAGTGCAGAAAAATTAAAATTTTGCAGTTCGGACACGATTGCCTATTCCCAGGCACGAAATCGAACGATGTCACGAAATTCTTGATTCGCTAGAGTACTGGCAACGATCCATCCACTTTAAGTTGGCGCAAAAAAATCGCGAGTTTCGAAAATTAAAAATTTTTGATTTCTAACGCGATATCCTATGCCCCGGCATTAAATCTAATGATGTCTCGTAAGTTTTAATTCGATAGAGTGTCATTCATGACGACGATGCAGCGCGACTTTAATATTCCCGCGTAAAAATTGCAAGTTCCGAAACGTAAAAATTCAGAGTTTAAACGCGATATCCTATGCCCCCGCATTTATTCTGACGACACCTTGTAATTTTTAAGTCGATAGA